GAAGTGGAAGCGGAGCCGCAAAGCCAAGGAACAGGGGGCTCAGGTGGAGGCAGAGAAGCAACGAGGGCTCAGCAAAACCTGCGAGAAGCTGCTGCCTGGAGAGCCCCGGGGACAAGCTGATGAAACCCCTGACTTCATGGGACGTAGCCCCAGCTCGGGCTTCCTGCACCACGGCACCACCGAGCTGGGCTACAGCCCGGACTCCTCCTGCTCAGGGGGTGAGGAGGAAGAAGAAGAGGAAGAGGAGGACGAGATGGGTGCAACGGAGAGGAAAGTCGGCTCTGTGTTGTGAAAGGCAGACGGAGCTGGCCGGGGAGAGGGGCTGCAGTGTCGAGGCTCTCTTTGCTGGCAAATACAGACTGTGCCTGAGCGGAGCTGCGGGGGCTGCAGGGCACCTGCCCCCCTTTAACTTATGTGTATTTGGATCCTATTTAACTTGTAATTATTCCTCTGTGTGTATCTGGGGGAGTCCCCACATTCCTCCCCTATAAAGCTGTTATCTGGATGCCTGTGGTCTTCCTTAGGGGATGGTAGGCTCTGCCCCCTCCTGCCACTGCACTGCCCTGCCAGGGTCCCTGGGGAACAGAGAGAGGACAGCAGACTTGCACAGCTGGCAGCCCTCTGGCCCAGCTGGAGGGGAGAGACCCCAGACCCTCCTTTAACTGTCCGCTGCCCCTTCCTTGCAGATACAACAGCGCCAGGAGCAGTGCGTCCTTGCGTGGTGCCAGCTGCCCTGCACCTCGGTACCATGAAGAGCTGCCTCCTCCTGCATCCATAGCATCCCTGCTGGGGTCTGTGCTTTGCAGGGCAAAACCCATCTATCCTGCAAAGCAGAGCTGATTAACTGGCTAACACAACGGTGCTGTTTTCAATGCTGCAATCAGTCTGCATTGCTGCGGCATTGCCCCGAAGTAAAGCAGGGATGGAGGCTTCCTGGGTTTAGGGAGGTGCTCAGGCTGTTTGTGAGGGCTCCTTTTCCCATGGCAATGTCTGAACTCTTCTCAGTCCCTTTTGGGCTCATTTCATGATCCTCTTGGGACCCTGCTTGCTCTGGCTGGGCTCAAATCAACCCCTGGTAGCAGAAGAAAATGGACACCCTCTGCCACCTCCCTAGAAACAGTAAAGCCCTGACCCTTGCTCGGTGAGCAGGCTTCCCTTGTCCTCAGGCCGCTGAAGTGTCCTGGCAGATCCTACAGACCTCCTGTGCCTCCTGCACACTTTTTGGGCCTCCCCTTGGGGACACTGAGCTGGCTGTGCAGGAAGAGGGACCAGCTCCAAAACGTCCAGCCTCCCCACCTTCCCACAGCCCAGGGGGACATCCCTGATTCACCACCCCAGTACATGCAGGGCTGCAGGAGCAGAGCAGGCTGAGCTGGGATGCCCCGTTCCTAGGCAGCCCACGGTCTCCACTGCCTGTTCCAAGCGCTGGTGCTCCCTCCTCTCTTTTCCTTGTCCTTGCCTGGGGGTGGCAGGGAGGGCTGCCTGTCCCTAGGACCTGCCTTGAGGGACGGAGCTGCCAAGAGGCAGCAAACCCTGGGAAGTCCCAGGTCACCTCCAGGAGCCAGTCAGCAAAGGATGTGACAGGTAAGCGTTGATGTGGAAGTGTCACACTTCACAGGGCTGGGTGACGCCTGGCAGCGGTTGATGCTGCCATGGGGCTGGGGGCACAGCCCTGGGCAGAAGGACAAATTGGGTCCTTTTGGTGTAGAGGAATGGACAGAGGAAGCAGGTGATGGGAGTGAGGAGCATGAGGGAGGTGGATGGATGGATGGATGGATGTGTGGATGTGTGAATGTATGGACAAATAATGGTCCTGTGAGTGATGACAGTGATCTGCAGCGGCTGCTGACAGCTTAGCAGCTTCCCCCTGGGTGTGTGGCATCCTTTGTGCCCAAGTGCCCTGACTGTGGGTAACTCAGCCCAGGGCACGGCAGTGTCTCGCTGCACACACAGGAGGTGTCTGGACCCTTGGCACTGCAGAGGGGCAGCTCTGGTCCTGGAGATGGTGCAAGGGCAGCCCCTGCTCCAAGCAGGGAGAAATGAGTCAGGGCAGGGGCCAAGTGCCGGGAACCTCCAAAGACTGCCCTAACAAGAGGAATAAGTATAGATCAGGGGGTAAAAAAGGACAGGGAAGGAAAGGAGAGGAGAGGAGAGGGGAGACTAAGTATGGAAAAAATGGAAAGGAGAGGGAGAGGAGAGGGAGAGGAGAGGAGAGGAGAGGGAGAGGAGAAGGGGAGGAGAGGAAAGTAGACAAGGGTGGTACCCAGTTCACTGCTATTGCTCTGCAATGACAGTAGGGCAGAACACCCATCACTCCAGGGAAGCTGTGCCTGCCCTGAGAAGGCACACAGGACTGTGCACTTGGATGATGGCAGATGCCAGGCCTTGGCTGCAGGAGCCTTGGGGCCATGGAATTCTACCACTCAATATACAACCTGCTCCTCTGGCAGCAGGGAAGCATGGAGCGGACTGCAGGCTGGAGCTGGGGTGAGGTGGGGGGGCCAGGGATGGCAGGGGAAAGGGAGGAAAAAGGAGAGAAGGAAAGCAACAAAAAAGAGAGTGTCAGGAGGGAGGGGGGAGCTGAAGCGATGTTGCAGACTTAAAATGTTCACCTTGATGGGCCATGACAGGTTTAATTTCCAGAGTACAACCATTAAAGTGATGGATGGGAGGCGTTCATCTCACGCCTGGTGCACACAGGCCTGCTGTGGCTGTAAGATGGTTTGTTTTGTTGCTGTTATTTATGAGCTTGTTTCTGCAAGAGCCAGGCACTTGTCCAGTGCTGGGAGGACAGAGGAGGGGATGCAATTGATGCCAGAAGATTTGGGGTGCTGATTTATGGCTGCTTAGATGGATGACTCACATCGTAAACATCAACAAATGCCATTAAAGCTGCATCTCCTTCCTGCCTCTTCCCTGGCATCCTGCCCACGTCATGGGATGCAGCCAGCCCTTCTCTTTGCCACCCTGCTACCTGTGCACCCCACAGCGGCTGTCTGGCTCTCCACACCGGTGACATAAAGGTCCTTCCCTCCTTCCTTGCAGAATATCCAGGGCCTGGGGAGATGCAGCAGTGTCCCACGGTGGTGGTGGCTCCTCACGGGAACGATTTGCAGGATACCCAATGGGCTTGTGCAGCCAGGGCTCCCCAAGC